TTATACTAATAAAGGTAGAATAGATGGGGAACTGCAAATACAAAAAGTAAAATTTAAAAAATTAGTCAATGGGATATGAGAAGGAGGAGAGAAAAGTGAGATAGTTGCTCTTACTGAGGAGTAAGTAGAAACTAATAGTGATAGCAGTTCTAGAAAAGAGTGAACAAAAAAGTGGAAAAAAGATAAACAGAGTAAAAACAGGAGCTAAAGAAAGATAAGAAGGAAGAGAAAATGTTGAAAGGGGAAGAGAAAATGTTGAAAGGGGAAAAGAGAAAAAGATAAAAGAAGCAAAAAGGGGGAGAGGGAAAAAAAAACGCCCACCCCCAAAAAATTCAGTGAAGGAAAAACAAAAATAATACAAAATAGAAAAATCAAAAAAATATTGAGTCAAAGAAAAAATTCCTATGTTACTGAATGAAAGATTTCTTTCCAAGATCTTCAGTCTTGGGATCCATCCAGTCCAATTTTCTATGACTAGTTTTAGGGCCTAATGGGTTTTTGAGGTGCCTTTCCAGTCCCAGAGGCCCCTCTGTCCATCCCCTTAGATTGTTACCCTCTAAGCCAGGGTGTCCCTGCTCCCACTGGTAGATGGGGAATATGGTCAGCCCTCTGGTCTCTGCTGGCTGTAGTCCTCAGGGTGGGGTTCAAATGGGCTGCTGGATTTATGTCCACACTTGTAAGGTCTGGTTGTGCCCTTCTCTCCTTGGTGTTATCCTCCTCTAGGATTAGGTCTGCCATCTCCTGCCATGGGGAAGCAAAATGTAATGCTGGGTTGGAGTTGTTGGGTGGCCCTGCTTTTGGCTCAGGGGTGCTGCACATCTGGTGAGGGCCTGCTTGCTCGTGTGGGCCAAAGGTGCTACTCTTCCTGTGTGGGTCTCTTATTTTTCTGACTTTCTTAAATGAAAAGTAGAAGATGTCATATTTTTCACTTCTCTCCAAGGGCGTTGACCTCACCCACCATCAGGTCAGTCAGCTGATCTGTCCTCTGTGGCCAGTGGAGAGGGGGAGCAGCATGGGGGAGAGCTGGCCAGGAGTTGGTACGTGGTTGCTGCTAGGGTGCAGAATCCACTGAGCACCACTGGATCTTCTGGTTTTTTAAAACCTGAATACTATATTGTCATAGTTTATCATATCTTTGTGTTGATGCTGTGGTTTGTGTTTTACTACTGAATGATGTTCCAGAGTGAGATTGTTTGTAGGAGATGGCTTCGGCTTTCACTATATAAATATTGTTTGTGTGCCTTAGCTGAAGGCTCGTTACCATGCCAGGGATGAGTCAGCAGATATTTTTAAATGCTTCATGTGTGTATCATGGTACCAGCCCCTGCAGGGTTTGTACAGGGGGCAGCCTAGTTGGTGCCCAAGTCAAACTTGAGATGACATGGATGGATACAGAGGGCACACAGAAATGGAGGGAGAGATTTCCAAGCCACCAATGAAAGGAATGAACAGGCTCTGTGGAAAATTGAAATTATTACAGATAATTAGGAATTTAAACAACTTCTCAGAATTTCAAGCCCACAACATTTGGCAGTGTCTATTTGGGGGAAGGAGAAAAGCCATATAGCTTTGGAGAGTGACAGTGCCTAGCTGGATTTGCCTTATATTTTATGATCATATCAGTTTCTCTTCTTGAAGTTACTGCCAGAATTAAGGGAGGAGTCTTAACCTTTCATTTTGCTCTTGGAAGTCTTACTCCTTTGACTTAGCAGGCATCAATCTGTCAGACTGGAACTTTCACCTCACTGCCACTCTTCAGGGCCCCCACCTCCCTGCTGGTTCTCAGCTTTTTCCCTGCCCGCCTGGAGCTGCCACAAGCTCTTCTTCTTTGGCTCTTGGCTGATCCCCACCTGACCCCACCTGATTGATGCCCTCCAGGGCTTCCCTGTCTCTCTGCTCCCACTCTGAATCCCAGTCATTCCTTTGGTTCCTAGTTTGGGTCTTGGTCTTTCTGTAAAGCCTCTCCATTTGTCTTTCTTCCCTCTCAGAATAGCTGTTGTACAACCTTATGTGGACTTTTCACCTACTGAAGGTCATACAGTATATTGTGGGAATTACCTAAACTTAAAAAAAAAAACAGACAATGCAAGTCAATTTTATCTTTTATAAATTATTTAGGTTCCAGGGTGGCATATATGGGAAAAGTATGTGCTTAAACTGAATAAGATGAAGTAGATCTTAAAAATATTCCCTGCAATTATGCCATTTAAGTGAGAGGAGCTTCCGGTGGACTTTAGATCGTCTCACCTAAGCACTGCATGCTGCCTGTCCGTATCTGGAGTTTGAGGTCATTGGAGCTGCCCAGTCATCTCCTTGTGGCATGGCCATCAGGCAGGCAGTGCAGGTGTCAGTGAAAGTCACTGTCCAGCTGGACAGTTGGGGGGGGCCTCACAGTGCTATCTAGGATCAGCTGCCCTCAAACTCCTTCCTTAACTGGGCAGCTTATTGGGGCTGGTCCTCCCTTTCCAACTCAAAAAACTCAGTAGGGGTAAATCAGGTAAAGTGAGATCTACTTTCAAAGCCAAGTGTCTTCAGAGGCTGGAGTGAGGTTCAAAGTTGAAGGTTGCTGCGTGGAAGTGAAATGAACTGTGGGTCGTTGACAGGGTGAGCTTAGGTAATCAGTGAGGTTGCGGGCAGCGCTAGGACAATCCTTGGCAAGCGGGAACAGGACAGTCTGCGCATGCGGAAGATTGCATTTGTGTTTAGATGGGGGATCAACAATGTGAAGTCCTTGTGAGTTCAGCTTCCAAAGTAATTATATCTTTGTCACAATCTGCCAATTCTTTCTGAAAGGGATGGTTTGCAGTTATTCTAACTTTTGGCTGGATAACTATTTTTAAAAATCTGGTAAAATTCATCACAGAAATGGACTCTTTTGGCTAGTTTAGTATTGCCAGAACCTTTCATTCTAACTTTTGTGAAAACATGCCTCTCATAAGTATCTTCACTGCAGAGTTATTGTGATATTGAATAATTGGAAAATTAAAAAAATATTCAACCACTGGTGAATTAATTGTTAAATAATCTACAGTTCATCCTTATTGTGGGATATGATACAGGTTCCAAAAAAATGAGGTCTGTGTGTATATGAAGATGTAAAGAAAAGGACTATGATAAATTGTGGGGGAAAAATCATGATACAAATTTGTGTGTGAGTGTGTGCATGATGATTTCATTTTGCTCAGAAAAACCATGTATATGTGCATAGACTGCTTAATAATATTTGCTACTATTTATTAAATGTTTATTATTTGATAATAGTATGTTCAATACTTATGATACCTAAATGACCTAATGTAGTTCTCATAAAAATGCTATGAGATAGATTGTTATTTAATATAAACTTTATAGCTCAGAAGGCTGCAGGCTGGAGAGGTTAGGAGGCCTGGCCCAAGCTGCAGGAAGTTGGAGGCAAAGCCAGGGCTCTGGCCTTTGCTTCCCACTGTCCACTTATAACTCCATCCCACCTGTACTGCTTCCTAACATCTGTCTTGAAAAGATCATGCAGCATCTCAGTATTGATGTGCTAGGTAACTCATGAGGAACTCATGTATGTGACAGCACCAAACTGTGCTCTCCAAACTCTTCATCACTCTGAGCTGGTGGCCTGACTGCAGAAGCCTCTGGCACATATTTCTGAAAGCGCCACTTGTCCGTGCAGGGCATCTCCACAGAGTGGCTGTCATACAGTTGCAACTGCTAGGGTAGAGTTCAAATTAAACATTAGCTCATATTGTCTCTGGAAAACTAATGTTCCCAAAAGACATTTACAAAGGGACAGCAATGTTGAAATTCTAGGTACAAACAGGAAAGGTCTTGGTGCCAACAATGACCAGCCTGTGTGTCTAGAATCCCAGCTAGATTTCTCATGTGTCCATTCCTCCCCAGTGGCCTTTTTCTCTCTGAACTTTCAGCGGTGTTGTGCCTAAGTGATTGAACCCATTCTGTTAAATGCCTTTAATGAATATGTTTGTGTAAAATCCTTCATGTTATCCTACGGGCAGTCCCTTCAGTATGGTTTTGATTACCTGAAGAGATTGGGCTGCTACTGAAGACCAATTACTAAAATTCAGAATTTGGAGCGCTAGTGCCAGAAACATTGAAATGCTTCTAGAATAAGTACAGAGGAGGTTTTGGCCACCAGAATTGCAAGTCTGGGCTACTGTCTCCTGCCTTTGTTTCCCACTGTCCAACCTATGATATATGTTGTTTTAGGTGGTTACTTTTTATGGCACTCTAGAGGGAACTGGTTTCACTACCTGTCCTCATTCTCTGCAGCCTCAGTCCTCTGTTGTCCCCTGCATATGAGGATGCAGGTCGATCCCAGAGCATGAGAGAATGAGCAGATAGATGGTATCATTTAGTCTATGAACTAAAAATATCATCTAGTCTAGTATATTTTTGGTCAAGGCAAAAATAATGAAGGGTCATGTGAACAAGGTATTTATCTAGTGTATAGAACTGAATATATGGACATGTAATTTATTATCTGCCAGCTGTGGAAACTGGACTCTAATAATTTCTCTGTAATGAATTTGTCTTTCAGAAGTCCATCTCCAACAACAATAAAAACCCATTGTTCTATATTACTTGCCCAGGCACTTTTTTTTTTTAACACCTTGCTTGTTAATTTGCTTCCAGTGCCTTAGAGAAGTTGACAGTTTAGATGATTTCTGTTAGCAGAAAAGTGTGGACTCAAAGGCTTTGCCTCCGAAATGCGTCTGTTGTACGGCTGCTTCAGGGTGCAGGTGTGCCTGTGGGCCTGCGGAGGGAGAGGGGGCGAGCCCACTCTGGACCAGAGGCAGGGGGAGGGGCAATCACCCACAGGGCCACCCAGTGTTGCAATCTTAGCCTGAACCATGTCCTCTGGGAGTTTCTTGCTGCCCATTTGTACCTCTGAGTAACCACAGACCCTCTGCCTTCTAAAGTGAGATGAAGGCACTGGAAAAATATGTAGATTAGCTGGAGAACTGCAGGGAAAATTCAACAAAACTTCGCTTCTGCAGAAGCCCTGCAGCCTTCTTCACCTTCACTGGCCAGGTACTTCAGGCTTGGGACATGAGAACTGAGGACTAAAATTCCTCAAGGTAAGAAGACTCCCCTACAAGGAAATGGACTCCTCCAATGTCCTCACATGATTACTCAGGTACTTTCACTTTTCCATATATAGGAGTCACTCAGGAACAAGCTCTGACCAGCGGAGGGAGTGACACATCCACCTCCATCTGCACCGTCCCATCTCACCCATCTTCACCTTGCTGTCAGTGCACCCAGACAGTAGGCAGGAGCCGTCCCCGTGCCTCTGCCAGAGATAAGCCTGTTGGGTTGGTAGAGAAAACCTCGGGCGAAGCCGCAGCATTGAAATTGTTACCTGCGAAAGTGAGCGGAGAAGTGAGAGACAATGAATGGACCTGTGGATGGCTTATGTGACCATTCTCTAAGTGAAGAAGGAGCCTTCATGTTCACTTCCGAGTCTGTAGGAGAGGGACATCCGGGTAAGTGAGTTGTCCTAGCCTCACTGCAAATCCATCCTCCCCAGCCTGGACCCAGGGAGTCACTTACCAGCAGTTCTGAGAGTGTTGAGTGTTAGTTGCCATAGGGATCTCTGGAAAGACAACATGAACAGTAGCTCATTATGAAGCTGAGGGTCCATGCAGCTGCCCATCACTAGAATTTCGGAACAGCAGGGCTGAGACAGAACAAACAATAAGCATCAGGTACATACCAAATGTCCCATCAGATCTTAACATGTTGTTTTTATTTTGACAGAACTTTTTATCTGTAATCACTGAGCAATTTAAGTCAACAGAGAATGTTCCCCAAATAAGATCAGCGGTTGCTAAATTCTAGGTGTGAAGCCCGTATGGTATAGAATGATTGGTGCTGAGTCGGATCTCTGGGTGCTGGGCTCTCAGGTGTATTACCTAGGAGAAAAGCCTATGACTTCCTGGAGAGGAAAAGGAATTGGAGCATTGTTTTGCTCCCTGAAAGGCAGGAAGGCTCTGATGTGGAACATGAGAGAGGATTCCTTGGTGACAGGCTCATGCCCAGATACTCAGAGCTTCAAGTTGTGGGATTGAGAGGCTGTTGAGCCTTGGAGTGTGTCAGCATCATCCAGAGGGCCTGGTGTGGCAGCGTGCCAGACCTCTCTCAATAGGTCTGGTAGAGGCTCAAGAAATTGTGTTTTTAACAAGTTCCCAGGACATGCTTCTGCTGCTGGTGTGGAAACCACACTTTTAGGACCACTATACGAGCAGAATCTTGAGGACTAAGCGCAGAGTTGTGTGTTCAAGAACTTCTTCAAATTTAGCTGAGAACTTAAAGTGTGTGGTAACTCATCACCAAGTCCCCCTTTTCCCATCTTCCTTGTGCTCATTCTTTCCCCCAAAGATTTAACTTTGATAACTTGTAACATGGCTGTGGTCATCTCAATGCACTGCTTCTTCTGCATGTGTTATCCAGTGGTCCTCAACTGGGGGCAATTTTGTCCCTCTCTCCTTCAGAGCATTTTGTAATATCTAGAGATAATTTTTGGTTGTCATAGTACTGGGGAAAAGAGGGAAGGTGCTCCTGGAACCGGCTGGATAGAGGCCCAAACATGCTGCTAAACTTTCCCTTTACAATGTGCAAGACAGCCTCATGATAAAGTATTATATGGCTCAAAGTTTCAATAATGCAGCTGTTGAAAAATGTTGAATTAGATCACTTTGTACAAGACTTACTTAATTCGATGTAAATAGCCTCTTTCACTGTGCATAAATCTGTAGATAAACTTTGTAGGTTTCCTGTACTTAACCTTGGATGCATAACTGTGTCTGATATGCTCTGGTCATCTCAGTGGGTTATGAGGGTGACATGTAGGTTAGGAGAAAGGTTGTTACCTGGAGGAAGTGAGTTCTTTGGTAGAGTAGCTAGTGGCCCTAAGCATGGCACACTGTACCCAGCAGTAATGTGCTCAGTGAACAGAGGATGACAATTCCAACCAATCCATGGATTGTTTTGGTTCCTAACACTTCATCAAGTTGTCTGATTCTGCTTTCATTTGCCAGCATAAATTAACTGTCCAAGTAAGTCGATTTCTTTTAAGGCTTACTGACTTCTGCTTTTCATTCCATGCCCATCAGAAAGGTAAAACTTGTTTCTTTTTTGAATTTGAAAAAAAACTGACCCATGGCTGTCTTGAGGCTACTGAATAATGCTGATAGAAATTTTAGAGCCTGACAAACCCTCAGAAAGGACCTCCTCAGGCATTATCTTATCTGAGGTACTGTCCTATGACATTGCTACCCTCTGGCTTTGTCTGTATAGCTGTTGCATTTGCACTGGGTCCTTTAAGTAAGCAGAGACACCCACAGTCAGCCTGTGAATAACTTTTAGGAACTCTAATGGGCAGGTCTGAGGTGTTCATCATCTACTCATTTCAGGGTATGACAGCTGTGGGCAGTCTTGCTGGGTGTGTACAAAATCTATGCACTCAGATAAACCTAGATTTATAGCCAGGATCTGCCACTGGCAGGAGTGTGGACAGAAAATCCCAGGCATAGATTTAGTAGTAGTTTCTGAAGGAGAAATTAGAAAGTTAACCTTTGATGGCAGATAAGACAAACATGGGTGCCATATATCTTTGGCATATATATAAAACTCCGTTGCTTTTGAGAGTTGAATTGCTTGATTATGGATCTGGAGTCTTAAAAATGTATTAGCCTATTAAGAGTACCCATAAGTATTTTGAACATAGTATGGGATGTAATGTGTATAATAGAGGTCATATTTATTTCTTTACTTGTGATTATTCACCTTGCAAAAATCAAAACAAGAGTGGAATTTTCCACAGTGGTGTTTAGTGATCTATGTGTTAGACCACATGTAGTCTTCAAGGCAAAGAGTAGCAATAAGATGGTCTAGCTCAGGGTGAGGCTTTGTCATGTCTATCTTGATTGCAGAGGAAAAACTCAGCTATTGTGCTTTCTGGTCTTCAGTGGCCATAGGAGGCTGTGGGAGATGCTTATGAGAATGTTCTTCAAAAGAGCAATGATGTTAGGAGTGTTGTTGGGAGAATTCTTGGGCTTTTTCCTTTGTGTTTTTGGTAGTGGGGATTGAACATAGCACCCTACCACTGAGCTATTTCCCCAACCCTTTATTTATCTTGATACAGCATGCTAGGTTGCAAAATTGCCCAAGGTGATGTAATTCCCCTGCTTTAGCCTCCTGTAGCTAAGATTTTAGGTGTGAGCCACCACCACCTGGTCTTGTAGGGTTCTTTGTAAGCAGTGCTATGTCCTTGGGTGTAGTATTTTGTGTGATGCAAAGCAGAGCACTTATTTGTTCCCTTTGATTTTATATCACAACCCCTAATATCACTGATGCTATTAAGGACTCTATTTCTATTTCTAGGAAATTTCTAGATGTTAGCGTGAAAAAGAATATGCTGCTGAAGAATGAGAGACATTTTAGTTAAGGAAGTGTGTGTGCATGCATGTGTGTGCGTGTGTGCGTGTGTGCGCACTGCCCTAGAGTCTTAGAAGAGCTGATTTTAAAGCACATTTCTTCTTCTAGAGAATTCTATAATTTACATAATATATGTCTTCAAAATGAGGTAGGAATGAAAAGAAATAGAAATTTCAAAATATTTCTAATTGCTTATGTTGAGCAATGTATCCTCTTAGGCTAGTAGAATTGATTTGCAAACTGACAGAATATTTAATCATTTCACATTTGTTACACTCATTCCCTGTGTGATTCACACCCATGTTCATTCTTATCCAGATAAGATCTGTGACCAGATCAGCGATGCAGTTCTGGATGCTCACCTTAAGCAAGACCCCAATGCCAAGGTGGCCTGTGGTAAGTGACCCATCCCCTCCTGCCAGACAGCTGGGTGGGCTGGGTGAGACATGCATAGTGGGCCTGAGGCTGCAGAGTGATAAAAGTCCACGTGCTCCAGGCTGCAGCATGGTCTTCGTGATGTGGTCTTTCCATGTTGCATCAGGGAAGAAAACCACTTCTGACCATGAAAAAAATTGGTAATCATCTTCAGCGGGAAGATGGCCTTTAGCATTAACTATCTTAGCCTCAGTAAAGAGCAGAGGGTTGGATCACTGCAAGGCCTTCCTGATACTTGATGTTTATTAGGGGTGGAGTGGTCTTTCAAAGTTCTGAGATCAGTGCTCCAGATGAGATGAAAGACAGTGGAACTACAGAGCTGCTGAGAGGGCCATGAGCAGCATTCTGCTGTAAGAGCCTTTGATGGTTGTGCCCTGTCTGGCTCTTTCTCTACTTTTCTGTCCTACCGGGTGGTATGGTTCAAACATTACAGTGATTTACAGGGGGAGCCTTCTCTATCAATTGCCCATAACAACAGCAGCAACTTTCTGAAGGCACATTACTGTCAGATCCTGCCTTGTCTCTTGGAGGCTCATGCATGCTGAAGATCTTTGCTGTTACTTGTGGAATAAGTTTTTCACACTTTGCCAATATTTTGAAGCCTGAGGCGCAGCATCAGAGCCAAGGACTCTGGAGGCTGGATAGCTCAGGTCCAGCCGCTCACTTCACTGAGGAGATCACAGTGCTAATGGATCAAGGCCTTGGCCAAGGCATGGGCCAGTGCATGGGACAACCCTGCTGTCCTGACCATCAACACTGTGTCCTGCCCACTACACAGGAGCCATCCCTCCATCTCTGGTGGCATCCTACCCCCTGTGTCAAATGCTTCAGGGACCCATGGCTCTCAGATGGTAGAGCACACCCTGATATCTTTGTAAACAGCTGGAGGTAAAGACGGTCTGTCTTGGTCTTTTGATCCAACTCCCTATAGCTCACAGTGGGATTTTAGCAACATGTGGGAAGGGGGCAGGTGACCGGTGTTCATTGTAACAGCCACCTACAACCATGGTCTCTTTTAATCCACACAACAGAATAGATGTGGAAACTTAGAATTAGGTTAAATAAATTGTCCAAGATCATACCAATAGTAAGTATAAAATTGAAGTGTGGCTTATTCTCCTCAAAGCACCTTTCTGCAGGCAGCATCTGGTGATGCTCAGTGATGGGTGCTGGGCTTATTCTTTTTGTTGGCGTTGTTATTTTCTTTCTTGAATCTGTTGCTCATGAGACATCTCCCACTTCTGTCTGCTGGCACGTGACTGCTGATCTGTCCCCCGCCTTCTCTTGCAGAGACGGTGTGCAAGACGGGAATGGTGCTGCTGTGTGGGGAGATTACCTCCATGGCCATGGTGGATTACCAGCGCGTGGTGCGGGATGCCATCAAACACATTGGCTATGATGACTCTGCGAAGGGTGAGGGCCAGAATGCTTGCTGGTTTCTGCAGAGAGAGCCTCCCTACTGCTGGGCTGAACCTGAACCTTAGTTTTAGAGGAGTACAAATCTTACTTAGAGAAGTATCACTGGTAGAACCTTGTGTCAGGCTCCAGGGTCCTAAGGCTTAGACAAGAGTGTTACAGCTGACTGGGTAGGACAGTAGCAGGGTGACTGCCCACAGTTTCTGTGGTAGATGAGTCTCATTGTTGCCCTGCCGTCTCGGTGCTGGAAAGGAAAGCAGCATTGAATGAAGGGAGCTGCCTCTGTTAGGAACATCCCCTCAGGCAGGCACGGACATTGGTCTTTTGATGAGCACCATCTCCTTTATTCATTCTAGAAATTCTGGTGTATTTCTTACACAGATGAGGAAATCGAGGCTTGGCGAGGTAAACAGTTATAGGTGGCAATCAGTGAAAGGCCACCAGGTTGGAGAATCCACTGCTGGCACAGAGAAAGGTGATGCAGTCCAGTTCTGGGACTGAGAACAGTAGAGACAGACTGACCCAAGTCATCCCTGCCAGACATGTGGGTGCCAAAGCCCAGAGGAGGGGCCCAGCCTGGCAGGGGCTGAGGAGAAGCACAGCTCCAACAGGCAGGTCAGAGCTAGGACCAACATAGGGCCTTAATGCATATTTCATTGTCCAAGCCAGGGAACAGCACAGGCTGGAGGGGTTTTCACTGATGCCAGGGGACTAGAACTAGAGCCCTGAGGACAGCACCATTCCATGCGAGCATCAGAGCCTTATTTTTACGCTGGCTTTCTGGACCCAGTTCTTAAAGATTCCACAATGAACTCAGACAATTCCAATTTTTAAAGAAAAGTTGCCCTTTCGGTCATTGCTAGTTCTCTCTTCACTCCCCAGAGTCCCAGGATGGCTAGGATGCTACCTCGCAGGCCCAGAGCTCTCTGCTGTAGTCACTGGATGTCCTGTCCTTTCCAAGCTCTGCCCCTCTCCCTTTGGTGCCTGAATTGTTTCTCCCAATCCCTTGGAGTCCTGCTTGGTTTTTAGTGCTGGCAAAATTCATTATACAGACAGGAAGTGATTAGGCAAGGTGCAAAATGTCTAATCCCCAATAGGAGAACACTTTGACAGCTTTCTAAAGATTGCTCATTGGTTTGCACATTAAAAACATTCACTGCAGAGCAGGGGAGAGAAAAGGCAAGGGTGGCCTGGTGCTTCTGGGGTGGGGGAACAGCAGACCTCAGGTGGTGAGCAATGGTGAGTCTGTGATGTAGTGTAGGGTGAGGGGCTGGACTGTAGGAGGAAACACAAGGTGCATTTCTTGAGAGCCAGGGGCTGTGGTATGTAGGAGGAGAGCCAGCATTCCAGGCAGACAGACTTACTGAGGGGAACAGTGTTGCTTAGGGTAACCCTGGAGCTCGTGTTGTACAGTACAGCTTCAATATTTTTATCCTTTGGTAGTAGATCCCACCTGAAGCTTGCATATAAACTTCAGGTTACATGTAGTTTATATGGTAGGGCTGGTAGGGCTCAGGGAGAAGGTCAGGACGCTCATGATGGGGTGTCTGGTGTTTGGCTTCCAGCAGCGTAACTCAGCGTGGCTGTGAGGACCAGCTTCCTCATGGCATTCCCTGGACAGGTCCAGTGCCCACTGTGCCGAGAGGCCTGGCTCTCCAAGCCTGGGCCTCAGTGTGGCACACAGGGACCTTCGCTTTCCCATTTGCTGTAGGCCCTGGGCATATCTTGGGGTCTCAGCACCCCAATTCTGTTGAGATGGTTCATGTATGCTGTATTTGTTCATGTATTTAACCCCTGGGCTTCTGAACAGCAGCACTGGAAGGCTCCTTGATTTTCACTCAGTTCAGTGATTTTCAAACTTGGTTCTGAGGAGCTCCTCCAGGACAGCTGAAGACACAGGGCTATGGATCATCTACGTGCTCGTCACCAGTGCAGCTTCTGTGATACCTGGTTTTTATGTCACAATTTCAAGTAGTTAATTCTTTTTAAATATGTTTTTTATTAGTACATGTTAATTTTACAAAATACTGGGTTTTAGAATGATATTTTTATAGGTGCACATAACATATTTTGATCTTGTGAGATACATCTTTTCAACCAAGGTATAACTGAACACAGTAAAATGCACCAGAAAGAATTTTCTTTGACTAAAGAGTTCAGCAGGATGGTGTGGGAAGGAGACATGACTTGCGTGCTGTCCTAGGCCTTAGCTATGGGCCTAGACAGACCCCAGCTGGTCAGAGACCACCTAACCTGACACTAAATACTGTACAAGGGACAGAGTTGTCCACCCTGCCAGTCTGACACTTGTCCCGACTCCAACATGCTGTCCCCTCCGCCTAGGCTTCGACTTCAAGACCTGCAACGTGCTCGTGGCTTTGGAGCAGCAGTCCCCGGATATTGCCCAGTGTGTCCATCTAGACAGAAAGGAAGAGGATTTTGGTGCGGGAGACCAGGTATCTCAGCAACGTGGGAACTTCTTGGGACATCACTCCAGTGTAGTCAGGTTGTAACCTGCATGGAGGAGCTGGGGGGATGGTGGTGTACTTCTATAATCCCAGCTCTCTGGGAAGCTAAGGCAAGAGGATTGCAAGTTCAAACCTACCCTGTCTCAAAATAAAAAATTAAAAAAGGGCTGGGGATATAGCTCAGTGTAAAGGCTCTTCATTCAATACCGTCTCAGTCCTGCCATTTCACACTATTAGGCAGACTTGCCACCCACACGTGAGCTGGAGGAGCACACCTGGAGTGAGGTGGTTTTTCTGCTTTAGGGCAGTGATCTTGGGGCAGTTTGTGGAAGGCTGTGTTGCTAATGCCTAAGGGAGCTTGTCTTCCCCTCCTAGAGTGTGCGGGTTAGGGAGGGTGTTTTCCCTTTCAGACACACCCAGTACAAAGTCTTCTATGTAGGAGGCATCAAATGCATGTTGAAATTGTAGATTTGGGGAAAGCTGTCATCCTGGTGATAGGAGCTCAGTCTGCCCCATATGTGGTTGTAGGGCTTGATGTTCGGCTATGCCACTGACGAGACGGAGGAGTGCATGCCACTCACTATTGTCCTGGCACACAAACTCAATGCCCGCATGGCGGAGTTGCGGCGCACTGGTGCTCTCCCCTGGCTGAGGCCCGACTCCAAGACCCAGGTAGGTGGCCTCCACACCTCTTGCAGAGCTCCTGGAACTTCAGCCATCATGTCCTCTTCACTCTTGACATTTTTAAGATCAAAATATTCAGTCTGCGCATTCAACAACTTGTCTATTTGAAAAGGTTGTTCATTTGAAAACTTCCATTGTAAATCCACATCCCCCCCACCACATTTTAATACAGAATTTCAAAACCACAGTAAGCTTGCAAGAGCGGTTCTGGGTCCTGTTTTGCCTCATTGTCATCTGTAGACTCTGCTGACTCCCAGTTTGCACTGCGGCCTTGCTCCTCCACAGGTTTCAGGCATTTAGGTCCCTGCCTTTCCACACGCATGGTCTCCACATCTCCAACAGGCCATCTAGCTGTCCAGCTCACTACAGCCCTTTTGTGCATCTTTCTTTCTCATAGCAAAGCTTGACCTTTGCTGGGTCTAGTCCCAGCCCAGTGGACCCTGACCTCTCTGCTCCCTGTACTGTTGAAATCCTCCTGATGCCTCTATTTGAAAGGCGGCCATGAAGGCTGGGGTGGCGCAGGCACGGCACACGTGGACCTGTGTCATTGGCCTTAACTCTGTGTCCCTTCCTGCTGAACCTGGTGACTGCAATGGCTTCATTCCCAGCCACCTCCTGCTCTGGCTCCTCTTTCACCTTCCCCTGCTTGACACCCCGCATCCTGGCACCTCTTCCTGCATGCACTCAAGCCCTCCCATCATGCTCTGGGTCCCATCTTCCTGCAGCACACACAGCTCCCGGCTCCCCCAGCCCTGTCACTTGAAGTTACTTGCCCGTTCTCAGTGCCCACACACGTGTGTGCTGAGGAGCTGGCTTTGTGAGCTCCGTCACCCCTGCTGTGCTGAAGGGCTGGGTCACAGCCCCTCCTGTTGCCAAGCCCTGCTCAGTGCCATCTTTGTCTCCACCCTGCCTGGGCCCCAAATTTCCTTGCTGAGCTCCCCTCTCATTCCAGGTCAGCCTGGCCAGAATGCTGCCCTCCCAGAGGTTCTCCCTGCTAGAAATCTCCTGTCAACTTCCTACAGGCTTCACTTTTAATTTCTTAAGACAGTCTAGTGTTCTTCCAAGTTTCTGTTTCCTGTGGGAAGAGAGAGGAGCCCCGTTTCATTCCGGCACTCAAAGCCTTCTGTGGTCTCCCTGCTTCACCTTCCTTAGCCAGTGCACCTCCATCCCACCCCATCTTGTCTCACTGGGCATCACTGGGCTCAGGTGCCCTTGTTTCTTGGTGCTTCATATGTGTGCCTTGCTGGTCTTCTGTGGGTCCTTGCTTGTCTAACAGGGGCTAGCCAAGTGTAGGTATCTTTGTGGGTACCACCCCTGGCTGCCAGAAGACAGCATCTTCTCTTTTTCCTGCACTTGGAATGAACACACAAGGTTTTGGGTCTCACTGTGGTGTGTGTGGCTCTGTCCTGCTCCCCGCTGCGCAGTGTCCTTGTCCCAAGTGTGAGTCCCTGCACAGAGCAGAGACTGCTGCAGATCAGCTGCAGCTGGGACTAGGGCGTGTGCTTATGGCCTGAAGAGACCCCTACTTGGGGCTTTCTGTGCTACCTAGGTGACTGCAGGTGGGAAGCAGGACCCTAGCACCACTGGGTATTGTTTTAGGTTGTGAGGCAGGGGAGCTAATGTTTGCAAAGAGTGATAGTACACAAGGAAAGGGGCACAACCTGACCATCTGGAATGCTGCTGGGATTTAAAACAGTGGAGATTCTCAGAAAATTGGGTCCCAGAATAGTTGTAGAGGAAATGGTGGAGCCCACTAAGCGCCCTCAGGTGAGAGTGAACCAGGGAGAATCCACCTGTCAGATCAGTTCACCAGAGAGGAAAGGCCTCCTTCTTTGTGCTCAGGTAAGAAACAGCAAGCATCCCAGTCAAAGCCAGGTGTGGTGGTATGTGCCTGGAACACCAGCACTCTGGGAGGCTGACACAGGAGGATCTCAAGTTCACGCACAGCCTGGGCAACTTAGTGTCTTAGCCACAGCCTGCCTCAAAATAAATTTAAAAGAAAAGTTTAGGGATGTATCTCAGTGTAAAGGCCCTGGGTTTAATCCTTATACTACAAAAAAAAAGTTCCAGTCTAGGGCATGGAGAGAAGGAGGAGAGATAGGCTGCCATGGATGCCAGAGGTCTGCCTGTCTCCCTGCCACAGGTGGTTTCTGCCAGCTCTAGCCGGAGAGCACGCAAGTTGCCAGTGAGCTCCATACAGCCCCTGGGGCACGGCACGGCCTGGGTCCCTCCCTGCACAGGCTGGGTGCAGGGCCACTGTGTGGAGCAGCCTTGTACCTCCTTCCTACACCCTGTTGTGAAGGATTCTCAGCACCGTGCAGTGTTGACTGTGAACAGAATGAATCTTTCCACCTGAACAAACTCTTGCTGCTGATACTGAGAACTGGGAGGCAGGATGGTGGCTATTTTTGTCTCCAGTCCGAGCTATGTTTTCCATGGTGTATTTTTCCCCATATCTTGCTGACGCCATGAGATAAGAGCCTTTGCTGCACCCACCCAGCTCTGTCTTTCTGTACAGGCACTCCTGGGGTGGGGGTTGGAGCGCGAGTGCTCTGCTCCTTGAGCCTGCCTGGGGTCTGCTTCCTGGGAACCCTGGTCCCAGCCCTACTCCAGTGTTTGAGGCTTCATCTGTGTCCCTGTGCCTCTGCCGTCTCCTAGGGTCAGGCGTCAGGGGCCTGGGCTCTCATGCCTTCTTCTGAATCCTACCCTTTTGCTCTTGGGACCAGACAGGACCCAGAGCAGGAGTCATCCAGTACAGACCCAGCAAGGCAGAGACCATGGAGGCACTTCCTGCAGCCCCGTGCCCTGAAGAAGTCCTCGGACAGGAATAGCCCTCTGCCATTGGCCATAGCATGATCCTGCAGGCACCTGGAGCCTGCTGTGGTGGGAACGCACTGCTTTGGGCAGCGTCAGGTCTGTGGTCCAGCACCTGACTCTGGGTCTCCAGTGGCAACCTTCTGCTAGACAAATCCTGCCTGTTGGGCAACAAAGCTACAGGGCAGACCCCAGCCCTGCTGTGTGATCTTCAAATATTTTCAGTCTGGAACCTGAACTTTCTTTCTGTAGAATGGGCTGGTTACAGATTCTCATCTTCAGCATGGCTTCTAGGACACAGTGCACTCTCCACCAATGCTTGTTTCTCCTCCTGCCTTCCTTGCTGTCCTTCCCATCATCTTCCCATGCACTCTGCAAACCCAGATAGCCCAGATTGCTTTCCTTTGTCACCAAGGCAGGTCAGTCTGTGACATCAGACCAATGTGCCTGGTGACGTGTCAGTAGAAGGCAGGGTCTCTGGTGAAGCATTTTATCTGTGCTGTAGTAGAAACGTGGGTTTTGCATTGGGCTGAGCAGGGATTGGCTACTTGCCTCTCCCCAGTTGGTTGTGTGACACCAGACAGGTTTTCCTTCCCCTTGCTTTGTTCTTCTGTTGTGAAGTGGGGAGAACAGTACTTCCTGGGTGGGGATATCTGATGGATTAACATAACACCCAGGACAGGAGCAGCACTGGCCTGTGGAGGTGGGAGTCTGTGTTAGAGCCACTCCTGTGACCTGACCTGCTAGGACCTCACAGGTGGTCCTTCCCCCCAGGGGCCCTGTACTCACCCTTTCTTTTGGCAAAACACTTAGTCCAGAGCTGGTCTGGAGATAGCTGCTCTCTCTTATTTCAGCCACTCCAGCTGGGGTCCCTCTTACCCTGTCCCTACAGAGGCAAGTCCACTGCCCCAGACACTGCCAGGGATCCCCCACTGTGGGAGCAGGGCTCCCCCATGGGGCTACTCACCTCTGTCTCAGAGGCTCTGATAATAAATGTCCCCCATCAAAGCCTTCTGTCAAGTTTCATAGCCATGGCCAAAGTGCTTCTGTCTCTGCCGGTGACATGTGGCCCATGGGTTCCTGTTGTCATTGGCAGGAGCAAGGATACTTTGGTCAGAGACTGTGGAGAGTCAGAAGAGAGATTTGGGGAAGGGGACATTTGTGGGCACCCAGCAGCCTCTGGAACAGCAGGGGAGGGGCCTGGGGGGTCCCAGTCGAGAGGAAGCTCATCTCGAAGTGGTACCCATTGGAGTCACACATAGAGCAGCTTTGCCCTATGCCAGTCACCTCACAGCGCCGGGCAACTTTTCAAATGTAAAAATGTGTCACGGTAGCTCTCTGAAACTCTCTGAGGACAGGTGGCTTCACTTCCCCAGGGGTCCTGCCGACCTCTGGGCTCTGTGCCTAGCAGTGATGTGCAACAGCCTCACAATACCTTGCCTTCCCTTTGAATACCCAGGTGACAGTTCAGTACACACAGAAAAGTGGCGCTGTGATTCCTGTGCGTGTCCACACCATCGTCATCTCTGTGCAGCACGATGAGGACGTTGCACTGGAGGACATGCGCAGGGCTCTGAAGGAGCAGGTGATCAGGGCCGTGGTGCCTGCCAAGTATCTGGATGAAGACACCATTTACCACCTGCAGCCCAGTGGGCGCTTTGTCATTGGTGGGCCCCAGGTGTGTGCGGGTCCCTGAGTGAAGCCCATTCCTGGGTCTTGGTTACTGAGGTAGCTTGTGTCCAAGTGAGCAGGCTGCAAAAGAGCTTTCAGCAGTCTTAAACTTTGGTCTCACCCATTGAGTGCTATGTCAGTACCCATGGAAGTAAGGACACACCTCTAGGAGTCTCAAATGCCATCTTACTTGCACACAGAAGCTACTGCCCTGCCAAGCTCAGGGTCTCCCTCATGGCTACCCCTTCCCAGGTGGCACTTGCTGGGTACCTGCTGTGGTTGCCACCAGCTCTTGTGGGTATCACAGTCAGGCAGGGACTTCTGAGTGGGGACTCCTGATGCTCCCTCCCCCTATACTACAGGAGTAAAGGGGTGGACATTAAACAGCAGAGCACCTTGGAGAGGCAACTGACTGCTGCTGGGGCTGCAGCTGTGGGTTGGGTCCTGGGGGCAAATGGAGTGTAGAAAATAGAGTGAAAGGAAGTTTTGTCTTGCAGGACTTTTCAAAGCCTAGATATAGTAGAGTGAACCCTAATAAAGGGGTTAGAGTAGGAAGACTTCCCCCAGACCATTTAGCGTAGAGCCCCACCCTTTAAAAACATTTTTATGTATTAATCAGCTTTCGTTTTCTGAGACACAATACCTGACACTGGCAATTTAAAGGAGGAGAGGGTTAAGAGGAGGCTTATTTGACTCACAGTTTCAGAGAATTCAGTCTATGGTCAGCTGGCTCCAAGGCAAGTACATCATGGTGGAATGGTGTGGGGGAGCAAAGATGTTTAGTTTGTTGCAGCCCAGAAGCAGAGGAGGGAATAGTGCCAGAGAGGAACTGTCCTGGAGCCATATGTAGTACCCAAGGGGTTGTACCTCCATGACCTACCAAGACACACCCAGAAGTATCTTTTACTAAACTTTTAGGTATTTCTTAATCCAGTCAAGTTGATGTGTCAGGATTAATGGTCACATTGATCAAAGATACACAAGGCATACTTGGAAAGGAAAGGGGGCAACAGTAGCTGGTAGCACCAGCTGGGCCGTGGCCCAACGTTACGCTTATTGCAGTGTAATTCCTGCCTGCAGGTAGATTTATCTTCATGGACTCAAAGGCATGGTGGGTGGGGCAGCTGTGGCCCCAGACAACCTCTGTCCCCATTTTTCCAGTAAGGTGCTGATAGGTCACCTGATTTCCATAGCTAGTCAGGGATAGAACCTGGAGGAAAATCTGGGGTTTCTGGAAGATTTCCAGCCAAGGGGTCTTTGCAAAAGCCCTGCAGGCACTTTCAGGGCAGCCTTCTCAAGGGCTTCAGCCCCCTTCACCTCTTCAGGGGCTCAGGGGCTCAGGGGCTCATATCCTCCCTCCATTCCTTTGCCTCTGCAGGGGGATGCGGGTGTCACTGGCCGCAAGATCATTGTGGACACTTATGGTGGCTGGGGTGCTCATGGCGGTGGGGCTTTCTCTGGAAAGGACTCCACCAAGGTGGACCGCTCAGCAGCCTACGCTGCCCGCTGGGTGGCTAAGTCCCTGGTGAAAGCTGGGCTGTGCCGGAGAGTGCTTGTGCAGGTAGGTCACCCCCACATTCTGAGTCCACCCTCCTGGCCCTGCTGTCCTTGCCTGAGGACATCAACATCTCTGAGTGTGGTCTTTCTGAAAGGTGTCCTATGCCATCGGAGTGGCAGAGCCACTGTCCATTTCCATCTTCACCTATGGAACCTCAGAGAAGACAGAACGGGAGCTGCTAGAGGTGGTGAACAGGAACTTTGACCTCCGGCCAGGTGTCATTGTCAGGTAAAAGGGCCACCAGGTGTTGCATGGGACCTTGCCCCTTTCTCCCCACATGCATGGCTTGACTGAAGGGGAAGCAGAAGGAAGGACTTTCCAGCTGCCCACAGGTCAGGGCAAGGCTCCTCACCCAGAAGGCAGTGCACTTGGGCATGGAATACCTGACATCCAAGTTGAGGAGGCAGTGTGAGAGCCCTGCTGATCCAGCAGACAGCAGCTCCTTGGGAAAGCGACTGTGAGGTCAACTGCTGGGAATCAAGTCAGCAATGCACTGTGTGTGCTTTTCTTGCGCCACCCTGCTTTCCAGAGCTTGGCTACGCAGTCCTCGGCCTGGCCAGGCGGTGGGCGACAGGCACCATAAAGTGGGGGTTAGCAGCCTTTCCTGATGTGCCTGTGCAGTCAGCTCTCGGGAGCATCTGAGCCTCCCTTTCCTAAGCCATGGCACAGGAGGGCCAGCGGCAAAGGCAGGACACGCACGGGGCTGAAGCTCCAGCCACGCTACCCTTAGAGTGTGTTCCCTGCTCCTGGACTCAGGGTCAGGGGAAGAGGCCCATTCCAACATGACCTTGTCTTCTGCTGGCCATGCAGGGATTTGGACTTGAAGAGGCCCATCTACCAGAAGACAGCCTGCTACGGCCATTTCGGACGGAGTGAATTCCCCTGGGAGGTGCCCAAGAAGCTCGTGTTTTAGAGCTGGCTGGCGTGGGCCTGACCTTGCCCTGCACACTCTTCTCAAGATCCCAGATACTCTGTCCCCCCAACTCCTCCTGGCATCGTGCCCACCCAGCCTCTGTCCTTCTGGCAAAGCCCACCCCTCTCCTCTGCCCCACCCTGCTATCACCATGGATGTTGGGGGAAGGCAGGTAGCTTCTGGGTGCTGGGGGTCAGGGTCCTTGAATGCAGTGTCATAATGTCCCCTTGCCTGTCCCTCAGAGCAGGACAATGTCACACGAGTGGGAAGGTCACCCTCATCAAGAGAAAATCCTCTCCCTCAGCCCTTGCACAGCCCAGACCTAACCAGATATCAAGGCATCAGTGACCCAGGCACACCAGGCCTTCCTTTCTTATGTGTGGCCAGTACCACGGCCAGGGCCTTGGCCAAGCTCTGCCCATACTGGGCATCTGACATCTCCTGGGCAACTGTCACGTGCAAGGGGCCAAGGCAATGGCCAATCTCATGTCTTCTTCCAACATTATGAAGTGGCATCTTTTAGCTATCACAGAGTCCCACACCCACACATGTCAGGCCAGAGATGGGCCCGGGCTGTGGCACAGCAGACTGGGACAAGGCTGTGGACCTGGTCCTCAGGCCTGAGCCTGGGCTGACTGGAAGTCAGGCAGTGAACCTGCTGCTCTTGGCAAGGCCAGGGTGATGCTCTATATGACAGTGCAGAGCCAGGGTGGAACCAAGAGCTGGTTTCATTACCTTGCTTGTCCTGGAAGAGAGCCCAAGGCAGGCTGGGCTGGAATTTGGATTGGGAAGCAGCTTTATAAACCCAGCTTACTGACCTCTCAGAGACATGTGGCTTGGGTTTTGGACCTCTAGGGCTTGTGGTCCAGGTCTCATCCAGTGCCTCCAGGGGCCCCCTGGGGTTAGGGTTAGTGTAGTGACCCTTGGGTGAAGGCTAAGACATGTGACCTTTGAGCCCCTTCCCTTACCTGGCCCCCACCCCCTTTTGGTGGTGCTGTAGGTAAGTAGGGGCTCCTCGGATCCCCCTTCCAGACAGGCCAGTCCTGAGACCTGTGTGCATTGCGGTAATGGTTCCCAGGTATGGGGCTACCTCTGGGTGATGGACAAACTGCCTGACATATGAGGACATTCTGCCTTTGCCTGCCGGCTTTGGGAGGACACATCTGCTCCTAAAGTGCCTAAGTGGTCCTTGGCCCACCATGGTTTTGGAAGCCTCAAACTCTCCTGGCTTTTCATCGGTGGCTGCTGTACATGCCCCATCTGTCCTCAGCCTGGGCCTTGGACAGCAGGTCTCAGCACCCTTGCTAGCAGCCAGGACACCAGCTCAGGAAGGGCCCTCCATGGCCCCAGGGGAATGCTGGGGACCTGACTTCTTCTCAGGGGCACAGCACTGGTTGTGGCTGCAAGTGTCTGCCTGGCAGCCTTGCCTAGGATGTAGACACTTTGATCTGAGCCTTGTCTGCCTCCACACCCTGAGCTTCTATGAGACTTAGGAACCTTGGTCTTTTTCAGGGTCCCTGGCTGTATAGGGGCCTCAGCATCCTTGCAGCACAGGGAGGGAAGGGCTCACAGGTGTCTGAGTTCCTCCAACTTGGGCTGTTCTGAAGTGGAAATTTCCTGTCTCCTGGAGAAAAGAGATCTTTTTGGCCTACATTGTGCATACGAATCTAAAGCCTTTATTAATAATTCCTTCTAGGACACTGAATAAAAACTAAGGAGCAACTACTCCATGCTGAGCTTTTGTCTGCAAACCCCCAGAGATGCAACACTGAACTCTACTACTCCCAGCAAGTCAGGGCCTCCCCTCAGGGTTACCCTAAATCATCCTGTGGGAGACTCTCCCCACAATGGACTGAGTCTTTCTCATTTAACAGCAGTCTTAGTTACTTTTCTCTCGTTAGTAGGACAAAATACTCGACACCTACAGTTAAAGAGGGAAAGTTTTATTTAGCTCATAGTTTGAAGAGGTTTCAGTCCATAATCGGCTGGCTCCAAGGCAGAGTGGCACATGGCAGAGGGGCCACCATTCATGGCAGCAGAAGAGACCAAAAGCAAGAGGAGAGAGCAAAAAGGGGAAACAAGCCTCTTTCTGCATGTTTTGTCTCATCCAGACTGCTGGAGTTTGGGCAGTGCCAATCCAGTCAGTGGACTGATCCAGCAGTCACCCAGCCTTAATTCCATCATTGAACCATGAATCAATCACAAACTAGGTTCACCTGCCTCCAAAAAAGCCCCGTCTAAAGTGCATGAGCCTTTGGGGAACATCTAGACACGAACCATAGCACCAGCTCCTATGTTAAGTCAGTGTATTGCTGTATTTGCTCCTCAAATACAGCCTGAGGACCAAGGAGCCTGAGGAATGTGCAAGGGCCTTGGGATGGGCAGCAGCTCCTTGGCCTCAGAGTGCCCTTGATCACATGCACAGCTACCGGTTCCTTGTCTCCGGCCCATCCTTCTACCCCTTTTTGCATGTTGCCTGCAGCAAGGTGTGTACAAGGGGACTTGGCCACATCTGCTCAGTGTCTGGATGATCAAGGGGAATAAATGAGTGTGGCCATGCCATTAAGCAGGTGCACATTTCCTCATTTTCAGTGATGAGGGGATTAGCCCAGTGATTTTTCCTTAGAAGCAGGTGTCTGCAGGAGCTCTGCTCATGTCCCTGGAGCAGGGAGAAGCGGAGCCTGTGCAGCTGCCACAGTGGGGCTAGAGGGACTCTGGGGCATGTTCCCTAGAGGGTGAGCACAGGCCTGTGTGGCTTTGCCCCGCATTAGATGAGGATCTGATCAGAATGCCAGGAAGGAGAAAGGTACAGCAAAGACCCAGGACCATGGCCAAGGGGAGGGGAGAGACTGCCCTGAGAAGCCACTCCACAGGCAGGTGATAAAATATACGTTACAGAGTGTGGTATGCATGTTGCAGGGACATGTATGGACAAAAAGACCTGCACAGAGCATCTGGGGGGACCTGTCTGTAGAAGGGACTTGTGGACAGAAAAGGCAAAATAATTTCTGAAGGCAAGAAAGGGGCCTAACTTCTGGGCCATGCAGTCTGCAAGTTTCACACTACTGGGGAATCTGGGAGCCCCAGAGGAGTTTGGAGGAGCAGCCAAGGCAGGGAGGCAATACTAGGGGGTGGGGTCTTTGGAAGACAAGCAAAGAAGCATTTCCAAAGTCAACTATGAGAAATGTCATATGAGGAGATTTGAGGCCTGGGAATGTCCAGTGAATTCAGCCACACAGTGTGTTGGGAATGTGGGAAATGGCTCACCCCAACTGTAGTCCTTTAGTCCATCTAGTCCATTCAGAATTGACAATCCAAAGTGTGCGACTACAGCGTCATCTCCTGCATGTCTGCCCAGTGCCCACCTCTCTGCCTCCAATCTGGGCTCTGCTCTGCCGTACTCCACCCACCCTAGCCTCACAGGTCAGGCTGAGCTCCCTCCTGTCACAGGACCTCTGCACATGTCCTTCTGTCATGGATGCTCTATCTTGTTTGTGAATTTCAGATGGAATTTCTGGGTCTCTGAAAATCCCCTTCCTTGACATCCTCTCTTTTCTACTCTATTCCATTTTTAGTGTCTTGATTTCCTTGTTTTATCCCCTTGGGCCCCACCTCTTGAAAGGGAAAAACTGTACTACGAAAAATTGTTCTTTTTAACACTATGTTCTCTTTGAAGCTGCCTAGCTCTGTAACTGTTTCATGGCTCTGTAATTGCTTTCTTGACCCCTGGAACCATGACAACATAACCGAATACACAGGATGCTTGATTGTACCAAGCTTTGTGGTCATTAATCTAGGCTTGTAACTGATGGTCATTCATTTAGCCCTATAGCTGATGATCTCACCCTGCTAGCTAATCAGAAGAACTGCCAGGCTGTCCTGTTGCACCTTTGTAACCCCTGCTTATGCTGCATGTAAAAATGCTGGCTCACAGACACTCGTTGCCTGGCTTTTGTTGGAAGTTATTCCAGCCAGGACCACAGGTGTAAAATAAAGCTGCTCACTGCCTCCTGACATCCCTGGGTGTTGTTCCTTTCCTGGACACAGTTTTGCTGCAACGCTGTCTTCCTTGACCCCTTCCTTACCCACCCACCCATCTCCCTCTCTACTTTTCTTCACATGGTGGTTTCTCTGAAGTTTTTCAACTCCAACTTAAAAATCATCTTCCAGAAATATAATCCAAGTTCTTCCCATCAATTATGCTCAACATCATCTGTATTTGGTCCTGGGATATCAATGACTGAGAATTTTATAGTAAGTAAATATTTTAATTAATGATATTATGGCAGTAATAATAGATCATGCATTGAAGAAGAGGTATCAACCACAAAAAGATTTTTCTTTTTTATTGAGGTATAATTGACAAAGGAAAATTATATACATTTGTGGTGGACAGAGGGGGAGACCCCTTGACCTAACAGTGTCCTGGTTCTGCTCCACTTTCACAGTAGGGTCATGAGAAGTCTGGCAGCCATGGGCCATCCCATCTCCTCCCTGCTGCTGCGCCTCACTGTCCCAGCTCCAAATAGTTCTTACTTTCTTCATCATCTTTGGTTTTCTACTTGTCTCATCTTCAATTATACATTTTTGCTTCTATTAAAAAAATAAAGAACCATCACTTTGTAACCAGCTTAGCTCAAAGCCTTTAGATTTCCTGAGTTCTAAGATATTTTTATTTCTCATTTCTGTTTCTCTGCTTTCCTTGTTTCTTTCCCCATTCTTGACTTTCTGAGCAGCCTACCATTTTAATGAGTTCTTGATCCAAAATTTACTTCCAAGGGAGCTCTAAAATTGCTACTTTCTTGCCTTTCACTTGTTGCTACTACCACTGACAACTGCAGATAAAGATTTCCATTACTTGTACTTTTTAAAAAAACTTTCAACGGTTGGGACACTGTGAAAACAAACAAATAAATGAATTAGAAATTCTTATTGTAGTCCAAAATAGTGAATTTTAACAAAATAACCTGGTATTATCAAGGTGTAGGTGGGTACCATCTACTTCAGTGTGTTAAGTACTTAAATATATATTTAAGGCCTGATGGCTTTGGTCTCCCTCCTTCCTCCACTCACTGGCTCATTTCTTCTGCAAGGTATTTGAGGGTGGGTGACTTCACTGTTCTCCACCCGGCCCCAGCCAGTGAGAGTGGCCTGGTTGCCAGGTGCTGGTTTGATTCTAGCTAGAACCGCAGTCAGTGGTCTTGGTGCTGTGGCTCCCCTGGTTGTGGTGGCCACAGGATCCCTGCAGCAGGCTGGGAAACCAGGGAGGGGCTTTAGCCTTCTGCAGAGCTAGTATGTCGGACAGTCCAGGAGTAGCTGTGGGGTCTCCTGGTTGAAGACTGTCAGGGTTGTGACTAGGGCTTAGTAGAGACCAAGAATCATTCTTCTTGGATTCAGTGGGAGATGGGAAGGGCCTCACACGGTTGGTGCAGGGGCTGTTCTCTCATTTTCAACAGATTTGTTCAACCAGGGGTAGAAGAAACTTCTTACTGAGACGCGGGACCTGCCAGCTAAGGTCTGATTCAGTACCACATCTGCTGCGATGGAGGAAGACAAAGCCCAGGTGTGTGCCTGGTGCCTGGGCACATCAGTCTTGTAAGCTGCAGCTGCAGAGCCCATGCAAGCCTCTTGAAGAAGTGTGGAAAGAAGCATGTCTTCTCCTACCCAGTTCCTGTCCTCCCTGAGCTGCTCACAAGGGCTAGGTGAGCATGTGAGAGGCTGAAGGATGCCTGTCTCCCACAGTACAGACCAGAAAAAAGACAGTGGGAAGCCTCTTCAGATCCGGGCTTCTGGACAAGGCCTTCACCTGTCAAGCAGCTTGTGTGTGTGTGTGTGTGTGTGTGTGTGGCCTCCTTGGGTCAGGAGGACCCCATCACCCCATTCTGAAGCCTGTTTCCAGTGAACCCATGTGTGAAGGTCATAGGAAGCTGTTTTATCTCCTCCTCTCCTCCAGGGGGGCCCTGAGCTGACCTCATCTTCTCAGGGCTGGGCCACCCCCACTCCAAAATAGAAATGAGTCCTCTTGCTTCACTCAGCCTCTGTATGACCCTTTACTAAGCCCTAGTCACCAGGAGACTTTGTATAATATCTGACTTTTCTTCAAATGTATTTTTGAATTATCAATAAATGTTTTTAGTTTTAAAAATTCTTTTTATGCAAGCATTTTACCTTTTCTCTATTGCATCTAACAGTATTATTAATGTAGGGGTAGTCTTTAATAAATTGCAATTTATTATGTTGTCTAGAACATATGAGGAGTTAACTTTTAATTCAGTGGCACAGCTCAGTGTTTTCTAAATACAGTGACACACCATTATCTGGGAGCTGTTCACTCACCAGAGGCCTTTGAAATATTACATTACTTTATCTAGGCTGACATTTGTAAGTCAGTGAATAATAAAAACAGCGGTGGTTATTTGTGGCTTCCCGCAAATGCAAGTTGATTCATCCATCAGTGGCTGTGTCAGGGTCTCACTGGGTGCGGGATGAGGACCCAGGAGGACTCCCTGTGCCTGGACCCAGCAGGGTTGCTGCTCTCTGCTGTCAGGGCCAGGGCTGGACAAAGCCCGACTTTCTTCAGTTGGAAAACTTCCTTATATGCTGAGGTTCTTTGGCTCTCCTCTGCCTCCCAAGGCATTTGGGCTACAAGATGGTGTTACCTGGCCTGGTGTCACCACCGTCTGTACAGTACGTATCCTGAGGGCATGAGCCAAACTCCAGGGTAC